GTTAAAGTGTTCGATTCTACTCAAGTCTGTTAACGTGTTCGATTCTATACGAGTCTGTTAACGTGTTCGATTCTACATGAGTCTGTTAATGTGTTTGATTCTACATGAGTCTGTTAACGTGTTCAATTGTACACGAGTCTTTTAACGTGTTCAGAAGAACGTGACTGGATCTCATCTCAACACTTCATGTCACAAAAAAAGAGGCCAAAAATTTAGCTTCACTACAACTAGAGGGCGACAAAGTTTTTGACCGTGTCTGTTTTTAGCTGGCCTATTGCTACTTTAGCTACTCTAAATACTGTAAGCTTTTATCTAGCCTGTTGCTGCTTTTAGTTAGTATCGTAATCTATTTATACTTTCAGCTAAGCTATAGCTACTTTTAGCTAGCTTTTTGCTTCTAGCCAGTGCTTTGCTACTTTTAGCTTATGGTTACTGTTTATCTATTTTAATCTTTTGGTTAACCCATTGATTCTTTTAGCTAGCACTGTTGCTTTTAATTTCTAGCTACTGTTCAGCTACTTTCATATTTTAGTTAACCTCTTGCTCTTTTTAGCTGTTAGCTAAGTTGTAACTATGTTTTAGCTAGTCTTTTGCTACTTTTAGCTAGCCTATTGCTTGTTTAGTTTTTAGCTTGATTTTTGCTAGTTTTAGCTAGCACTTTAATATGTAGGTTTGTTTAGCGTTCAAGCTGCAATGTAATTTTTCTAGCTCCAGTTTTAGCTGTTATTCAGAAGGAAATGTGCTGAAATCAGAACAGAATCGTTGGAACGTTTGTTTTGTGAAGAGCCGAACGTGTTTCTGCAGCATGCCGTCAGTTTTAGCTCCTACCTCTCCTTTTTGGGTTCTTCAGCTTTGGTCTCAAATGCAGCGTGTTCCTCTCTGCTCGGGTCGTAGTGCAGCGCCGACACATCTCTGGAAACATAAACAACTTATTTGTTTGTTTGTTTGTTTTTTTTATCCATTAACTCTTCAAACTGCCAGGTTCTGGTCCAGAAGGAGCCGTGACTCAGGCTGACCTGAATCTTTTAGCTTTGCTCTCCGTCTTGCTGCTGGTCTGTCGGCTGCTTCCGAGGACGCTCTGCAGGATGGACAGATTCTTCTTCCTCTCCTCCTCCAGGTCCTCGTCATCCTTCATCTTCCTCACTCCTGAAACACAAACACCTGATTCCTCTTCATGTTCAGACCTCCAGCAGGAAGAACCACCATCAGACGGACAAAACATCCGTCCTGACCTCTTCTCCACCTGCAGCCAGACTTCCTCACCTGTCTGCTCCTCCTCCTCCTCCTCCTGCTCCTCTTCATCTTCCAGAAAACGGGAATCCATCCGGAACCGCTTGTCGGTCCCGAAGCGAGACTGCAGCTCCATCAGCTGGACAAAAAACCAAACACCAGAGGCAGCAGAGGGTTTTAAACTGAGCGCATTAAAAAAAAACAGCTGAAAATATTCAGATGTCGACCTGATTCAAATGACCTGAACCCTCCTGCTGCTCTTGGGTCAAAATGGCCCGTGTGGGTCATTTTGACCCAAGGGCAGCTGGAGGGTGAAACATAGAAAAGGCTAAAACAATGAACTCAAAATAAACTGAACACATCTCACTTTAGATAGCTTTTAGCTCATTTTAGCTTTTAGCTGTCTCCACTACAGTAGGAGGAGGACAGGCCCAGAACTTTCCAGAAACGCCACGAGGATGAATGAACCAATCAAACTAGAGAAATGTCATTTCCGGTGAACATGCAGAGTGAGCGCTTATTGCTAAATGATTTCAGCTGAAAGCAGCTGAAACTGTTTAATCTCTAAAATGGCAATGAAAGCTGAATTTGAACAGCTGACATTTCCTGAAAGCAGGAAAATAAAAGCTAAAAGCAGCAGAAAAACAGCTGAAATGTGTAGAAAAAGCTGAATAGAGCAAAAATGAGAAGAATAAGCTGAAACATATTAGAAAAAATAAAAAAGGAGCTGAAATTTGCAGAAAGAAGGTTAAAGGGAGCAAATAAAGGTCGAAATTCAAAAAATCACAAACGGTAGAAATGAGTAAAAAGGTAGCAGAAAAAAAGGCTAAAATTAGCTGAAAAATACCTAAAAGGTAGCAGAAAAAAAGGCTAAAATGTAGCAGAAAAAAAGCTGAAGCAGAAGAAAAGCTGTGAGCTCCATTTGTTTTCAAAGTTAACCTCCTAGGACCTGGCATCCACGTATGCAAGAGTCCGGGTTTTAGGAGGTTAAATATTTAAAAAAGTAAAAATTGCAGGAATACCAAAGGTCACAGCAGGAACGTCCTGAACGAGCCGAACGTTTTGATTCTTGAATCGATGAAATAAACCGAAGATTTCAGGACGAGCTATGAGCTGAAATACGGATCTTAACATTGAGAACGATTAAACAATAGACTTCAACAACTCACCTTCTGTCCTGCTCGACCTTCAAACTCAGGCCTGATGTCAAACCTGCTGCCCTCCTCCTCTTCATCACCTCCCTCGTCAGCCTCATCGTCGGCAAACAGCCGAGGACCTGAAGGTTTCAGCCGGGCCTGAAAACAGGCAAAGATTAAACTCCAGCTGCTCCACTTCACCTCCTTTCTTTAAAATAAATTAATTGATTGAACACAAACATCAGCAGTTGATCATCACTCGCCTGCTGATTGGCTGTGGCTCCGCCCCCCTCCTCCTCTGATTGGCTGTCCTGGAACAGGCTCGTCTTTGAAACCTCCTCCTCCTCCTCATCAGAACCGAAGACGATGTGTTTCCCTGCGCTCGGAGCTGGCGTGTCCTGGTGGAGATCAACATCTTCATCACATCTGGAAACATCTGCCCTCAGAGTGAAACCATCAAAGTCACCAGGAAGTGTAAAGATCGACACCCACCATGTTGGACAGAGCGCCCTGGATCAGCTTCCTGTGTTCTTCGACTTCTTTCTGTCTCTGCTGGAGAGCAGCCAGCCTCCTCATGTTGGCCTTCCTCTGCAGCTCCTCCTCCTCCTCAGCTCCTAACACCAGCCGGGGAGGAGCGCGCTCCTCCTCCTCTTCCTCCTCGCTGGTCGAGGACTCGCTGTGAGCAGCAGGA